TTAGTTTATAGTCCGTATATAATTTGTTTGGACTGCAAGTGCCAGGCTTAGAACTCGTGCCTGTCAAATTAGAAGCTACCTAAGTATTGTAATAATACTTAGATTGAGTTGTAGTAATACTCCGATTTAAGGTACAAATCAAAACAAACTGCGAACAATCGACAATATTTATATAGACAATATAAAATTAAAAAACAAAAATAAAAACAAATCTATTCAGCCTTTTTATTCATCAATCAAAAATTATTATCTTTGTTCTTGATATATGATTTTGCAAGTATTACCATATTTCTCATAATTATAATCTTTTACATTGTAAAGTCATCAACAAACACTGCGTCTAAAAACTATTGAAAACTAATTAAAACTGATTTTAAAATTAGTTTTTAGAGTGTTTACACACAAGAACTAAAAGTACTTTTAAGCTAGCTGTCAATCAGTCAGGTGTTAAGCGGTGAACAAAAAATTTAAATTTTAAATATTTTAAAATGGATAGAGTGAAACTACAAATTATTTCACTTTTATTGCAAAAGAAAGATATTATTACCAAAATGGTAGGAAAAAATAATAAAACAGTAATGGAGATTTTAGGATATTCCTGTATAAAATTAACAAAATTACGAGAAATGCGATTACTATTTCATAAATTATGTCCTTTCTATATTTTGTGCATTCCAACAATTTTACTATTTTCTTTTCCGCAAATACTTATTCTGCCTCTTATGTTATTTGTAATAAAATTTAAATACTTATTAATAGTTTACAGCTGTTGTTATGTAAAGTACTTTTTAAATATTAATTGCCTGGCAACTCTGGCCTGTCATTATTCTATATTCCTTTTGTAATTATTATTCATTATTCATTTTTAGTATAGTTAATAAAGCGAAGTAAAGAACATGTTAAAAATACATCGGACCGTGTTTCACTTTTGCTAAAAATATATAATAGGTTATGGGCCCAGCACGCTTCCACTGCGAAGTAAAAAGCACGTGCACATAAAAAGTAGATTTAATACGTGTATAAAAATGTCGGGAACGGTGATTCGAGTTGAACCGCTTAACGCGGAAAACTACGATACATGGAAATTACAAATGAAAGCTATTCTCATAAAAAACGATTTATGGTCATATGTCGAAGGTACTGCGTCGTGTCCAACGGGCGAAGGGGCTGCAAAATGGATCAGCTTTGATCAGAAAGCGTGTGCTGATATAATGTTATCAGTAAGTGCATCAGAATTAAGATTAATTGCAGAATGCACAAATTCAAACGAAATGTGGATGAAACTACAAGCCACATATTCATCAAAAGGGCCTGCGCGCAAGGCGACGTTGCTGAAAAAGGTTGCACTTTCGCGCATGAAGGAGGGTGAAAAGGTTAGAGAGCACCTCAACGATTTTTTTGAAGCCGTGGCAAAATTAAAGGAAATTGACGTCACCATCGGGGATGAGCTTCTGGCCATACTGCTCCTATATAGCCTACCCGACTCTTTTAATACTTTCAGGTGCGCGTTAGAAACGCGCGACGAGCTGCCAAAGCCAGACATACTTCGAGTGAAAATATTAGAAGAAGCTGAATCGCAAAGGACAAAAGAAGACAGACATAGTGATGAAAACTCTCTATACATAAATCGAAATAAAAGCCGAAACGCAAAACAAAACAAACGATACAGTGATTCTAAACGAAACAAACAATGTTTTAATTGTGGCAAAATCGGACATTTTGCACGTGAATGTAAAAATAAAGCAAAAGCTGAAAATAACACGCAATTGAAAAATTCGGAAAAATCTGTAAACAATAATTTTAGCTATCATGTTGAAGATGCATTTATTAGCTCAATAAAAGAAAATTATTGGTGCCTAGATAGTGGATGTACTGCCCATTTAAGTGCAAACCGTGAATATTTTACAGACTTTCAAAAATCGAATAAAGTGCTTAACTTAGCAAACGACAACACAACAAATATAAACGGCGTCGGTAAAATGAAAATAACTGTAGACGTATACGGTCGTGATAATAACATTGATCTTAAAGAAGTTCTATATGTCGAGGACTTGCGTACAAGTCTACTTTCTGTATCAAAAATAGTAGACAGCGGATATGAAGTGCATTTTCGCCCTTCAGATGCAATCGTATTGGACAAATATCAGAAGGTTATAACTCGAGCGAAAAGATGTGGAAATCTTTTTATTGTTGAAAATAAAAATCATTTTGCACAAGTTGCTGAAGAAAAATGTGACATTGAAAAGTGGCACCAGAAAATGGGCCACATAAATGAAAACGATCTTAAAAAATTGGCTAGTAATAACCTAGTACACGGATTAAAATTAAATCCTAAACAAAAACTTCCGACTTGCGAAATTTGTATTAGTGAAAAACAAATACAAAAGTCATTTCCTAAGAGTAAAGAAACTAGAACAAGTGACTTATTAGAGATCGTGCATAGTGATGTGTGCGGACCAATGAGAACAGCATCAAATTCGGATGCAAAATATTTCGTAACATTTATTGATGACAAATCACGCTATTGTCATGTATATTTTATAAAACAAAAATCCGATGTATTAAATGTATTTAAGCAATACAAAAGAGCAGTAGAAACATTTACGGGTAAACGAATTAAGGCTTTACAATCAGACAATGGTAGAGAATACGTTAATTCTGAATTTAATTTATTCTTGAGGAAATTTGGTATACAAAGACGCTTAACTGCTCCATATACGCCGGAGCAAAATGGTATTGCTGAACGTAAAAACAGAACTCTAGTTGAAATGGCCCGTTGCATGATGAAACAAGCTGAAGTTCCGCCAAATTTTTGGGCAGAGGCCATAAATACAGCGTGCTATATTCGGAATAGGTGTCCTACAAAAGCATTGAACGGTGTAGTACCGCACAAGTTGTGGACTGGTAAAATGCCAACTATTGTACATTTTCAAGTATTTGGCTCTAAAGCATATGTCCTAAAAAAGGATAAGACTAGAGATAAATTCGATTCTAAGTCAGAACCTTACATGTTTGTTGGATATTCAAACGAAGCAAAAGCCTATCGGCTGTGGTCACCTACAAAACGAAATATAACAATAAGTCGTGATGTCGTGTTCGTAAACAAAAATATCTATCATAATAAATACGAAAACATTTATATTAACAATGAAAACGACTGCCAAACAAATGATTATATCGATATTGCGTTCGAAAATTGTGAAAATCAGAAACTGTCGGTCAATCCGAAAATTGTAGAAAATACAGATACGCGAGAAGAAAACTCCATTCGTAGAAGAGGTCGTCCGAGACTTATTCGCACAAATTCACGCGGTAGGCCTCGAAAAGAATATTACACGTCAAATCGGAATGGTGAAGAATCATCCAACGAAGACGAAAATACAAGTTCAGTAAGAAAAATTGCTGATAAAAACCATTCAGATGATGAACCTGACAACAACGTTTTTGAAGATTGTGAAATGGCGTTTCTCACTACATATCAAACTCCAGTAACGATTTTGGAGGCACTTGAAAGCGATGAAACAAATTCCTGGTCAAAAGCGCTAGAAGACGAAATGGTGGCACAACTAAAGAATAAAACATGGGAAGTGGTCGAAAGACCGAAATCACGAAAAGTTATTGGGAATAGATTCGTGCTTCGAACTAAAGATGACGGAAAACAGAAAGTACGATTAGTAGCGAAGGGTTTTGCACAACGACCAGGTGAAGACTTTCATGATACGTTTTCTCCAGTCGCTCGTTCAACATCTATAAGACTACTTGCGGCACTGGCAGCAAAAATGGATTTGGAGATCCATCAGATGGATGTCATTACAGCATACCTAAATGGAGAGCTCGAAGAGAGTGTCTTCATGGAAATTCCCGATTATCTTATACCATTCCTGAACAAAGTTGTTTCATCAAAACCAGTAGGAAAAACTTCAACAATATTGTGTGGAAAAGTTAAAGAAACAGCGCAGCATTAGTTAAAGGCGATTAAATCAAGTAAGTCACTGTGTGTTTATTAAAGAAAGCTCTTTATGGACTCCGTCAGTCTGGGCTATCATGGTACATGAAATTGACAAAGAAACTACAGAATATGGGTCTAAGTGCAGTACAACAGGATCCTTGTGTATTCACTAAGCGTGAAGGCAACGACATTGTTTTGATGACAATATATGTAGACGATTTACTAATAGCGTCCAATAATAAGTTTCGTATAAAAGAAATAAAGGCTGCACTTGCGAATGATTTCGAAATGAAGGATTTGGGAATAGTAAGTAATTGTCTTGGCATCGAGTTTCATCAAAATTTAAGCAATCATCAAGTTTTTCTTTCACAAGAGAAATATGCAAAAACCATTATTGAAAAGTTCAATATGAAAGACTGTAAACCAGTGAAGACTCCCATAGAATTGAACATTAAGTTAACGAAACCAACAAAAATTGATGAAGGTGTTATGAAGATGTATCCCTATCAAAGCTTGATAGGAGCATTAATGTACTTAGCTGTTACAACTCGACCTGATATTGCGTTTGCTGTAAACTTTCTTAGCCAGTTCAATTCAAATTATAACGTGGAACATTGGAAAGCAGCAAAACGAATTCTAAGATACCTTAAAGGTACAAGCAACTATGGTCTATTGTATGAGAAAAACAATGAAGAATTGTATGGACTGGTTGACGCTGATTGGGGCGCTGACTTAAACGATAGACGTTCATATTCAGGGTATGCGTTCATTATATCAGGAGCAGCGATATGTTGGGAAGCTCGAAAGCAACGTACAGTAGCGCTTTCAAGCACTGAATCAGAATATATGGCCATATCTGAGGCCACAAAAGAAGCGTTATACCTAAAGGCAATCCTTGATGATGTTGGCATTACAAGTAAGACAATTGAAATCTTTAATGATAATCAAAGCGCTCAAAAATTAACGGAAAGCTTCAGGTATCATCCACGGACAAAGCACATTGATATTCGTTATCACTTTATTCGCAGCAAGGTTAACGACGGCACTGTTAAAATCAAATATATGCCAACAGAAGAAATGCCCGCAGACGTCCTTACCAAAGGACTCACTACAGAAAAGCATGTTAATTGCTTACGGAAATTAGGAATGAAATATTAAAGTCATATTTTACACATAATAAAAGCACTTTAAGAGGGGGTGTTGTTATGTAAAGTACTTTTTTAAATATTAATTGCCTGGCAACTCTGGCCTGTCATTATTCTATATTCCTTTTGTAATTATTATTCATTATTCATTTTTAGTATAGTTAATAAAGCGAAGTAAAGAACATGTTAAAAATACATCGGACCGTGTTTCACTTTTGCTAAAAATATATAATAACAGCTAATACTCGTAATTCAAACATTAAACTGCTTTTAAGGTGTACGCAATGCTTATAAAACTGATGTTTCTTACTAATATAACGTTTACACTGGCAGAAAATGGCTCATTTTGAATGAGCAATTGGAAAGTGTTTACATTTGTTGTAATTCATTTGTTCTCATTTTAAACAGCTGATTTTTCAACCTGCCTGTTGATTTGATTTTTAGCCTATGCCTAAAAAAAGTTTCGCATGAGGTTAAATATACCTTGAAAGTTTACAATATAAACTGAAAACATATTTTTAGCTTCTATTAAGTACTTTTTGGGAAGCAGAAGTTCCAAAGAGAGGTGCATTGTTTTCAAGAAAATGCAACCACCAAACATTTGTTTACCTTTTTTTGTAAATATGTCAAAAACAACTTTCTCAAACTGTCAAAATGCCATGAAAAGCTTTTATTTGTGTATGTATGTTCAATGTATTCCTTTGCATTTGGAACATATAATATTTGGAACGCATTCGACCCTCGTTAGAACGCATTCATACATAATGTGATCCAATGGTTCTCATTCGCGCTTGAAATTTTGTATGCAAGAATGAGTCATTTGCTTCTTATTTTCGATTTTTGACCAAAATGAGTCATTTGAGGCCAATGTAAATGCCGTATAAAAGTGATGTTAAATTACTTTTAGTAAGCTAAAAGTGCTTTTGAGTAAAATTTAGTTTGGGGTGTTACTGCAACCTTAAAATGGATTTTAAGAGCCTTAATACAAATTTTAAGGTTCGTGTAAAAGAAAATACAAAAGTTTTTGTATTGTTTAAAATTTAATTTATATTTCAAATTTATTGTTATTATTTAAAATTATTATTTAAAAAAAATTAAATTAAAATTCAAGTGAAATTTATACTTTATTATTTTAAAATTAAATTAAAATAAGACTATGTTAAACTAAAAAACGCGTGCTGCTGCCATGGGACTTGAAAAGAGAAGAAAGTTAAAGATCAAGTAAGAAATGTATGAAGCTAAACTGTATCAAGAATAGTTTTTTCCTTACAAAGTTAACGAAAGTCATTATTGGGTTGCATATCAATAAATAAAGGGGAGCAGCACGCGCGTTTTAAATGTAAAATATAATAATATTAAATTTAAATTAATAAAAATTAATACTATAATAATTTAATCATTTCAATGTAAAATTTACATAGTAAAAAATAAGTATATAAACAAATCTCTCAACAGGGGGTTTATATCTGTATTAAGTGAGGTGTCTACCAAAGTGAAACGCACGCTTTCGAGTTGTATTACAGACTAACTTTATTATAAATTAACAAAAGCTTACGAACTAAACATTTTGAGTAATATAACTTATATTGTGTAATATACACTTTAACTTGTAATATTATATATATGTATATAGTAATTAAATATATATAACATTAACAATTAAGTTTATATAGTAATTTTGATATTTAAATAATATTTAGCTATAAGTCTCTTTGTTATTTTAACAAATATTATTTATTTTAATTGAAAAAAATGTAAAAAAAAAACAATTATAAAATTTCATTTGGATTCTATAACTATAATTTTCACCACGATGAACAAATCACCCTGTGACTATTTGTACATTTTGACATTTGTGTGTGTTTTTTCACCACACGAAGATAAACATTTCAACAAAGAAAGAAAAAATTTGACAGTTCGGAAATATTTATACAGAATAACAAACTGCACGAACCATCAAAAAAAATATGTTTAAATATTGTAAATAACATTTTTGAAAATCGAATTTATATTTTTTCGTGTAAAAAATGTCTGACGACGAGTTGCCGAGTAATCGTCAAACATTGCCAAGGACTGCGGTTAGTTATGACATGTTGGGGCAACATATGGAGAATTACAATGTCGAGACATCTGCGCTGCATCGCAAACTGCAAAGCAAAGTGGAAGCAGTGCGCATACTGCGTCGAGATTTAGAGAAATTTCGCACGGAACGTGATCAGTTCAAATTAATGGCTGAAACACTGCAGTTACGCTACTCCGCCATCAAACGCTATAGCGATTTGGGTAATTGCGATGCAGTTGAGGGCGGCAATAAAAACAGTGTAGCGAATCTCTTACGTGAAACCAGAGAACGCAATATTAAGCTGACGACTGAAGTGGAAGCTTTGAAGCAGAAATTGGTGGAGCTCCAAGGTGACATCGATATTTTGCGTGCAAAGGAAGCTAAACCTCAACGAACAATTAAGTCGGAACAGTTAAACGTAAGCAAAATGGAAAAGGTGCATAATAGCGACGAGTTGCAATGGAAGCAGGAGCGGGCTAACTTTATTTGTCATTTAGAGAATTTAAAGAAAAAGGTATTTCAGTATTGTTTATTTATTATATGTGATGATTTAAATTACAGTTTTAATGTTTGTTACAGAATGCTCAGCTAGCTTTTGATTTCAAGGCAATTATAGATGAAAAGGAGGAACTGATAACCGAACGTGATGCCTATAAATGCAAGGCTCATCGTTTAAACCACGAATTATTAGTTGCATTGAAAGCTAACGAAGTTCATCCCAAGGTTTAAATTTATTTAAAATTAATTGAATTTTAATATACATAAATACTGTATTTGCAGTTCCTTGATATTGACAGTATTTTGTTGGAAAATAAATACCTGCAAGAACGCTTACTGAATTTTGAAAATGAGCTGGACCTAACGAAGCAATCAATGAATAAATATAAGGTATATATTGGTGCAAACATATATCAACTTATCTAATTCTTTAAAAGGACGGTCACTTGCATATTTACTCTTTACCATAACGTTAACGTTGCCATGAAAACTGGCAGTTCTAGTGGACATAACAAAATAGTTATCCTTTAATTCTAAAAATAAATATAATTTTTAAGTTAATTTTATACCTTATATATGCATTATAACATTTATTAATTTAGTTTTTAAAGTAGAGCCAAAAATTTATAAATTACTATATAGAAGAATTATCTATAGAAGAATCGTAGAACATTTTCAAAAATATTTTTAAATTTTTTAATGAAATGGAAAATGTTAAATTTTTTGTATATTTGTGATATGCTTAATTCAATTTATTTATACAATTTTTCATGCTGCAATTAAAAACTATCCGCAGAGTATGTTGGATGCCAAACGTAAAAAGGGTATTATTAAGCTAGGCAGCAATTCGAATGAAGAAAACATTTTATCACACAAGCAAGGTAACAAAGGCTTAGAAACTATATTTATATATATACAGTGAAAACTTTCTTCAGTGGACACAATTCTATCCGGTTAGAAATACATAAAATAATAACTAGGAATTAACAACATGACTAATAGATATTTCCGTTTATGAGTGTTCATTTAATAGCGCTTTCACTGTAAATATATATTATAGATACTGATGTTGTGTTTATACAAGTGTGCTATACCTTTAATTTCTTCTATTTATTTATCAATTTATTTGTGTTTGTAACTATATTTTGCTTTTGAAACTTATATACCTATTTATTTCACATATGTATTATAGTTGATTTTATATAAACAATATATACACTATAAAATAACTTAGTTATATATCTATATAAATATATATATCGGTTTTAGTGAAAAACTTATTGGCCAGTGGCATTGATTTGCCTACCAAGACGGAAACAATACAGGATTTAAAATCATTATGTCTGGCTTTGTTGGATAATTTGAATGACAAAAATTTAGCTTTAAGTCATCAAAAAAAAACAAACAAGTAAGCTATAATTAATTATAATTATATTACATATAATTTCATATTATTACATTATCCCATTTTAATCAATATTATAGAGTTTTGGCTACCAAAATTGCAGAGCTTGAGCAACGTATACAAAAACTAACAGGTATAGACACTGAATTGGATGCTGCAGCAACTATGTGTGATAGCAACATCATAGGCTATTCACCAGCTCAACTTCTTCTGCACGGTTATTGTCCATCTTTAGTGGATTCAAACACTACAAATGACACAAATGCAACAACAGTAACCACTATAAAAACAACAACCGGCAGTAATATAACTGAAGACTCTGGTACCATGTCTTCCGAACCAGATGATTCGAATAAGACCTCACGTGGTCTGTCCGATGATGGCATGTCTTCGTTATCTACTGAATCAGGTCGCAGTATACTTTCATCTGAGTATGGTGTTGATGTAGCTGCGTGTAATCTAAGCGACTGTGGCACTAATCTGTATGCTAATTTGGTCAAATCCTCAACAGTTCACAGAAGTCATATACATTCCAATTTCAAACATTATTTACCAAATTCAATTGCCAAGGAACGTTTAAATGATTTGAAGGATTTGCCACCAGAACTAGCTGCTTTAGTACAAAAAGCTCTGCACGAATTAGATATGCGAGATTTTGACGAAGTCGTGGGAACATGTGAAGATGTAGGCGAAGAAGTAAATGAAGAGCACTTCAATACACAAATAGCCTTAGTAGCTGATGAAGACGAACAGGAGGATGATGATACTATACATTAAAATAATTTATTTTATATATTTGTATATTTTTTTCTTGCTTTATGTTAACAACTATATATAATTTGAATAATAAGACAACGCCTGTTTAAACTACTACTACAAGAGAGATGCTACAACCCATCCAAATACTACATTCATATCTTCATAGGCTTTTAAATATTTATTTCTAGTCATAGTTAAAAACAAAGAGTTAAACATATGCTAAAGGTACCTAGTAACAAGAAACAATATTACAAATACTAAATATATATATAAAAAGAATTTTCCTCATTTTGTATAGTGAATGGTAAAATACTCTGTACTGTACAATAAAATAGTTAATAAAAAAGTATCAATAAAATCAGCTGACATAAGCGAGTAATGCTATTACAAAATAATTGTTAAATAATAATAAAAGATATATTAACAAAACTAATAAAAAAATAGTTGCAAACTTATTTAAAAGAGTTTTAACTAACAGATATATATCCAAACATATATACTATTTATATATATTTTGATATTAATATTTTTTATTTTATTTACAGATTGAAATTCTTTCTAATTATGCAACTTCAAAAAGTGATAACTGATATCGACGATCGTTATATATATAAAAGAAATTAACAAAAGTGAATTTAACAAAATATGTACCAGAAACAACATTAATTGAAACATTCTGGCTATGAAATATGCATATATATATCATGTATATATTCATGAAGAAGTTAGAAAACTAAAAACAGTGATTCAAGGTAGTGTTTAATCCAAAAAAATTATAAATTTATATTCTTTTTGTGTGTCTTAGACTTACCGTTTATTAATAATTTAGAGTTATTGTAAATCGAAAAAAGTTAGATTTGCTCTAAGCATAGTAAATTTGATTATAATATCTGCTATTTGCCAAAACATAACACTTGACAGATTGCAGCAGTGATGCCAATGTCTCGCTTAGCGAATATAGGCCACCATGCATTTTCTGTCATACATGTGAGCCACCTAAAACACCTATTAATACTTTTATAAAATGCATACTTGACGATGATATTTAAAACTGACGCAATTCTAATGGCAGCTGCGTGATGATTACAACATAGTTTAAATGCCGACACCATATCAACAGAAACAAAAATGGTAAGTTAATGTTTTTAATTTAAAAATTAACTTTGCTATTAAAGTTTTCCTTCCGTCTTCATTATTACATATGAGAACCTGTCTGAAAAGGTTTTCAGATATGATAGCGAATAAGTAATTAATCCAACCCAATACTAACGTTGTAATCCGCTGGTTTTTTTACTAGGTGTTGTAATACAACAACAAGTGACTATGATATCTATATCGAAAGCATTTGCACTGATTTAAAGGAAATAATACCCTTTGTATATATATTTGATTATCTCATGGTATAGTGCGGAGTTATGGTAAATAAGAGACATGATGGATTGCTACGTTTTATTTAATATGAATACTATAGAAAAGTTGTAGTAGTTTATATAAGTACTTTATTTATTTATTTATTATTTATTTTACTTTGTTTATTTATATATGTATGCTATGATGTTCTACTTGTCTTACATGTTAAAAGATTCTTTCATCTACGGTCAACTATGATAAAAGACCTTATACTCTAATTCACTAGTTAAGACGTGATAATGACTGAATTTAGAGTCTGAATTTCTGCTTAAATACACAATACAATAGCGATGCTGTTTTTGTATTCGTTACATCCCTCTCCAATTGCGATTATTTCCGCCTGAAAAACGCTGGACGAGTTGAAAAGAATATATACGTCAACAGCGCAATCATCTGAAAATCATTCATAAGTTTGCGTTAGAATTCACCTAACAAAGATCTCAATCAGTTTCTTTTGGAAGGCAACGTTAGTAAAATTATTGTCGAATCTGATCTTCACGACAATATAATTAATCAGTCTTAAAGGTTCCAGCATTAATATAATGTGTAGTTTCGAAATTAATTGATGTATAAAATCTGGTTTAATTTTGTTCAGGTATTAAATCAACCTCAAGTTTATCCATTTAGGATGTGAACCTGTTATAAATATTGACGGTCGCTTCCAAATTATTTTAGCATAATGATACAAAAGCTAGTATATATACTAGGTAAAAAAGAAATTTTAAAAGTGATTAGTGAACCACATCTTTTATCTAATGCCATCAGGTCTTTGCGTAGACCGACTGGTGACACCACAAGAATGGCGATTGAGAGGAACCCAATGGGTAGCACGGAAATGTCACACATGCGGAAAGGCTGGGGTAAGTTGAAGCTATTGGAACCAATCGTACCGAGTGGAAGTTATTTGTTACGGCCCTTTGTTCCTCCTAGGAGTTAAAGGATAAATATATATATATATATATTTTAAAAATATTTACTAAATATCGCCTTCAACATAACTTCCATGTTTGGAGTTTTCGAATTAGATCTACAGATAATAATAGACTCTATATCCTTTATATAAATCGATTAGATGAGGTGATATTTATATTATAATTTGTTATAAAACTTCATCTAAAATCGCAAGACAAAAGATTTTTTTACATTCTGCTAGATTGTATCAGTAATAATTAAATGTTGGCTATAACTATATACATTGAAACAATATCCAAATATGTCAAAACTCAACTCTGGAAATTTCAACCCGCTGTCAATGGGTCAAAAATATGACTAAGTAATATATCCTTGTCCACACAGATGAATATCCGAATGATATCATGATCACTTCAGCCCTCCATTCATGCTGTATCAGTCAACCTCTTTCTTTGTATCGTGAACATATCGTAACTATTGCAACGAAGCTAACATCAGTAAACTTCGTTTGTATAATAGCAAAATTCTCAACAGGCCTCCACCTGAATAGATAATGGATAAAAAATGGATAAAAGAGAACTTTTGTTTTTGCTCGTGCAGCAAAAACGGTTCTTAATCAATTGTGGTTATAACATATAAGTAGTCACGTCTTAAACAGTTACTTGTGACGCAAGTCAATTTCAAATTTATTATTTAACTTCAATTCTACTAATCATGATGGGTGTGTCGACTCGACTATTTTTATTTTTAAATGCACTCATTAATTTGGGCTCTATTGATAAGGGGCTACACCCCATTGAAGTAGCTAAATTCAATATGTACCTATCTACAATTTTCCCTATCCGCCCACTATTCATATCGCAAAATCCTTCTTCCTCATTACTTACACCCATACCTATCCTAACTCGTGTATTCGCCTCGTAATTCGATTCATGTTTCAATAAAGATTTTCACGGATTGCAACAACAAGGAATATAATAAATTCTGTTTTTGGTCTTTAACCAGAAATTATATTACTATTTCTATTATTTAATGACATTTATGTGTAGATGCAGCCATAGTAATAAATTCAAAGAATACGGTTTCCTACTTCAATCCTATCGTTTTCCTATTAACATCATTTGAAGCAAATTTGTACTGTGATCAGAATTCATTCCATGAACCAGAAAATATGAAGCACAGGATTTTCAGTTTAAATTTAAAAATTAGTTATAATAAATACAATACAATGGTATCGTTCCATACATATATAGTTCTTTACATGTAGTCTGTATAATATTTTAACATATAAATATAGTTGAGCGTAATTTTTTTAATCACAGTATTTAAATTACTTAATTCGTTTTTTTTTTCTGTTAGCCAATTAGGAAAATTGCACCCAATCTGAAATTAAATAAATAAATATAAATATTATATTACTCTTTTTTTTGTGATTAAAAATATTATATAATAATTTATAAGTAGCCCTCTTATTGGTCATTTAAATAAAAATAAAAAAACTATAATATATTATTTATATTTAAAACAAATTATTTTATTAAGATATTTTCCAATATTTCGACTATCTTCGATATTGATATCTTCAGTTTCCCTGAAGGTGACTATCGAAAATAGTCGAAATATTGGAAAATATCTTAATAAAATAATTTGTTTTAAATATAAATAATAAATTATAGGTTTTTTATTTTAACTTAAATGACTAATCTGCTCACTTATAAATTATTATATAAATAATAAATAGAGTTTATAGAGATAGTATCTAAAAAATATATTTAAAAGCATGATAGTATGATGAAGTTTAAGTTTTTAAAGTATGAAACTGTTTTCGAGCAATGAAACACACTATAATTTTATAATTCCTTTTATTATATATTGTATAATTATATACTTAATTTTTATTTATATAAAACAATATTTTTCTATCACATACATTATATACGCAATAAACACATATACATCCTTTGAGATTTATTTATTTGCAAATGTAACTTAATGATTGTTATTCTTAATGTTTATGCAAATAATAGTAATACATGTTTAATAAAGTTTTCATATTAAATAATTAATAAGGAACAATTAAGTTTTTTTAATGTTTTATATAACATATATTATATATGACAAAATTGATTGATATTCACTATTTATATATAAAATTTAATAGCAAAAAAAAAGTCTCGTTTGAAACATTTAATTTTTTTAATTATTAGGAGTAGAATATTTATGCGTGGTCTGGAATAATCCATCAAATTTGGAGATTGGTGGCATTATTATTTTGTTCCCAACAGCATATTTCTACAGATTTTTCTTACTACTCCTATTTTGTCATAACGCTGATCTATATAAGAATATATGAATTATTTAACAATCTTTGATAAATAACTTTTACAGCGAAATAATTTGTTTCAACTTATGACTTTATATTTAAATAATGTAATAGTAGGGATAATAAAAATATGTCTTATCGTTTAATATGAAACTCTACAAAACTGCTCTTTAGGTCAGTTACAGATTATCTTTATGTACTGACATGACTAATCAAATTCTTAAATTATATTTTAAAATAATTTAATTAAAATTGATATTTAAAATTGTTAATAAAATTTATATATAATATTGCATTATTAAAACTAACAGTCTACGTATTATTAAAAACAAATCCTTAAAATGTAATTAAAATCATATATGCTTAAAATCGGAGTTATATTTTCACAAATTTCTTTTTCAAATTTTTTTTTAAGTTATTTTATTTACTTAAAACTAACATAGATTTAGAGGAAGTATCCATTAAGTACTTATTGAAATACTTTAGGATAATTGAATATCATATATAAAAAATTACTATATTTTTAAAAATAAAATATATTGTTAATTTGTGAATACAGAATATATAATTTTGAAATGGAAAAGCTTACGAAAGAATAGAAATTAATTTTTAGTATAAATATAAAAGCGTTTATATGATGGAAATATGTTTAATAATAAATGTTTAATAAAATTTAAATGAATTTTTTTTATTATTTACTACGAAACAAAAATAACAATAAGTATTATACATAAGTTAACACGTTGTATGTGCTCAAAATAAGTTATAAAATACATTTAAAAACATTATAATTCATTACATGTTTATTATGTACGGAGACTATTTTTAACTATTTTTCTTTTATTTTAATAAATAAAATTAAAAACAATTAGGCAAAATGGTGTTACCTAAATAATTCAAATATATTAAAAGATATTTTAATAAGTATTTAAAACTTTTCAGTTAATGTTTTAATTGTGATACAATTCTAATAATTAGACATTATTATAATCCAATATATAAAAATAAATTTTAAAAAATTGAAATTGAAAATAAAAAATTTCTATATATTAAAACGCAATTTTCACCATTTTGCTAAATTGTATTACTAATTTACACTAAATGGTATGTTTTTTTAAAAGAATCTTATTACGTTAATTTACATTATTACAAATAAATAATTACAAAAAACGTTAATATATAAAAAATTATTTAATTTTGAAAACAATTGTTTGAAACACTACACAATTTTTAAATTTTATATTTTTAACATAGTTTTTTCCACAAAAAAGTAAGAACTCTTGTTCACCTATTTAGCTCAATTTGGTTAAACTTAAAACTATATAAATAAGTTAATTTTGAAAAGCTTTATAAACCGTATATAAGCCATTAGAGAGCTAATTATATTGCTAACCAGGTTTTATCTGGTCTTGATAATAAATAAATAAATAAATCAGTAATAAATAATTTCGGTACACACTTATGACTACTTTCACTCGAATTAGTCGAATGAGGACTTGGGTCCTCAATGTTTTTAAATTGTATTCAAAATATTTTAAAATACATAAAGTTGAGTTATAAATATGTGTTTTTATATGTATGTATGTTATTTTTCGATGGTTATTAGTAAAATTAGCAATTTTGTTACTAACAGATTTTATGAGTTGTTTCTTATCTTTTCATGCTATTATATTCCGCATAATAGTTAGCTAAGTTTCTTAGCTGCGTCACTGCAAAACCATTGCCGAGGCGTTGAATACTGCGTAAGAGCAGCGTACGCTCAACTGGTGGACTTTGTATGATGGCAATGGTTTTGTAGCGACGTTTAAGCAAATATCAGTTAATAAATGACATATAATTTGTAAAAATCACATAGTTCTCTACTAACCGTGCGCACAATTCTTGTCGCACCGTTGCTGTAAATTTATTGGCTAAACAAAGTGCAGTTGTGGTACCAAAGACCAGATTATACAAAAGCACAATCTGAAAATTTCCCAACCATTCGATAGCACCAAAATCGCCAAGCAAATCAAAGTTGGTAATGCCTATGAAAAAAAAAAATAAAAAAACATTGATATCAGCAGAACTATAAATATTACACCTAAACTTACCAATTATTCTACTGAGCAGTGGCAAGGCTGAACTTAATATCAACACTAACGCGCAATTGAGTATCAATTGAGATAGTGAAGTTTTACGTTTCTGTGGACGTACATGGCGCATAAATGGCATTGTATAAAAGCCCACAGCAGAGGTTGCTCCTAAGTATAATATTAGGAAAACCTCTAAGCCCGCACCAAAGGGTCCAAGTTTGGACAATGAACTTATGCCTAGTGTAAATTGCTGCAAAAAAAGGTAAAAATAAGATATATCCGATTTTTAACAACGAAAGCAATAGAATAATGCTTACCCTCGTACTTAATGGCAACGCTTTAATACCAATAAGTAACTCGAGTGTGTTCTGCACAACAAGCAAAATAGTTACGCCTGTTAGGAATAACAACAGTAACATTGCAAAAGGATATACAAAATTACGTTGAAATGCTGAAGATTTACGCAATTTATCCAGTTCTTTGCGTTCAGACTCCAATTCTCTCAGTCTTTCATTGAGTGCGGCTTCTTCGTCGTTTAGTTCGCCGTTCATTGGTTTTCGTTGATATAATGTTTTTATAGATGGATGATAATAACTGCTGTTAAATTCATGCGGCGAGCTAGTATCAATGCTGTAACTTCCATGACTTTCGTTTCTATTATTGCTATTATTTATTAAATGACTACTATTGAAATTGCTGTCGTTGAAACTGCTATTGCTCAATTGACTAGTATTTAATCCATTATAACTGAATCCATTTAGTCTTCCGATTTTACTTTTATTTTCCATTTCTCGTTTAGTCAGCTTACGTCTAACACTAGCCTCTTCCACATGAAAAATGTAATATTTGTCATTGACTTCTCGCAACAGATGAGGTTTAACAAGTACTTGACCCACAACGCCAAACAAGCGCACAAAGCCGAATGGAGTGCAGACTGTAAAATATATAGTTTTTCAAATAAAATAATATATTTATAAATGTTTTTATATATTTAACTTCAAGCTCTAATGATTTTGCCGTTTGCTGATAATTGTTATTATAAGTTACATACACAGCAGACTCTCCAAATAACAATAGCTGCATATAAAATACATCATATCTTTTATTTTAGCGAGAGTCTACTGTATATGTGTTATATTGGAACTGAGGAAGTATTTAACACATTTATACTACACAAATCATTATTAAGGAACTTAAGAACCACCAACAGAAACAACGGAATTTGTAATCCTGTTGTAAAGCTAGAAGTAACACATACACAAGGTGGGCTTGAATGCGAGTGAGCTGTAAAAGTAGAAAACAGAATAGAATAAAGA